TGATAGTAGCCTTTGAAGCAGGAGAATAATTACTTTAGTTGACATTAGCAATTAAGCGTACCAGAATTAAAAAAGAGTTAGCTGACTTTTTGCTTGAGTATAGTTAAAAAATAGCATACAAGGCAACAGCTAGGTGGAGCTATTTTGGGTGACAGCGACAACAGCTAAAGATGTGGCGGCGAGCGTTGCTGTAGAGAACAAGCTAAGTCATTGCACTCTGCCCAGACAGTGCAGTGTGTGGAGTAACACTGTCTTGCTCTAACATCTGCACACACACACACACACATTCCTCTCTCTCTCTCCTCTCTCTCTCTCTCTCTCTCTCTCTCTCTCTCTCTCCTTTAGATGAACATATGAATTACTGAATCGATGCTGGGTGGGTAGATGTTTGGTGTGGGTTGACATAGGTAGGTGTCGGTGGGCACAGGTGGGTACAGGTGGGTACAGGTGTGGGCATGGCAGGGTCAGGCAGGATCATCTCAGTAAAACAGCCAAGCGCTTCTCCCCGTCTACCTCCTCTTATATGCCTTCTCCTTCTCCTCTTTATTCTCCCTCTCTTCCTCTTCCTTCTCTTCAACCCCTTTACCTCTACCTCCCTTCTGACCTTTCATCCACACACACACACAGACGAACACAGACAGACAGACAGATAGATGAATGAATAGATAGATAGATAGATAGATAGATAGATTACCTTTACACATCAAACTAATTAATATTTCAGGTGTGATTGAATATTTATAAACTAACCCAAGAGAAAAAAAAAAAAATAAATCGAATAAATAAATAAAAAATAATTAATAATACTTTTTACGTGGATAAATTATGTAAACATCCCTTATGAAGAAGGAAGGAAGGAAGGAAGAAGGAAAGGAAGGAAGGAAGGAAAGGAAGGAAGGAAGGAAGAAGGAAGGAAGGAAGGAAGGAAGGAAAGGAAGGAAAAGAAAGGAAAGGAAGGAAGGAAGAAGGAAGAGGAAAGGAAGGAAGGAAGAAAATAAAGACATAACAAACTATAAAATATTTAGGTAGAATCAACTGTGAATATAAATGGATTAATTTTTTTTTTGTGTGTGTCTGTTTTTTGTCAAATTAAACACAAAAACTAGATTTATTTTGTTAATGCCTAGCCGGGAAAATAAACTAATTCTTTGATATACGTGAGTCCTGCATGATTAAATGAAATAATTATGATTTTCTGAGTATAATAATAATGTATTAATAATAAAAGATTTTTTTTTTGGGGGGTTATATTTATTTATTAATTTGGGTGACGTTGGTGTTTTATTTTGAATTTTTATAGGAGGAATTTATTTTAGGAAATATAGTTAAGGTGTTTAGAGAGTAAGACAGTGATTAGATTTAAGTCTGTCCCTACTGTCTGTCTGTCTGTCTGTCTCCTTTAATATCATCAAGAGACCTCAAGGCAATCTTCTGTCTCCTTCTCTTTCTTTTCTCCTTCTCTACTTTCCCTCTCTCCACCCCCCTCATCCCCTCTCACTTCCCTCTATCCTTCTCATCCACCTTCTAGATTTCTCCCATTCATAACTAGCCCTTCACCCCCCTTCCCTCTCACCACCCTTCCATTCTCTCCTTTCATCCCTCTCCTCTTACCTCTCCCACCTGCCCTCTCACTCACCCTCTCCCTCCTCACCTATTCTAGCCTCTCCCTCCATCCTTCTCCCCATACTAGCCCTCTCTTTTCTTGTCCCTCTCACTGCCCAGCTCAGCCTCCATCCTCCCCACCACCAGCCCACTCTATCATTCCATCCTCTCACCCCTCTCCCACTAAGCTTCCTCCTCCCCCTCACCAACCCTCTTCCCTACCACCCCTCAGCCTCCCACCCCCACTCACACATGGCAGGCGTCAAGACAGTGCCAACATCTAAGGAATACATTAACTAAGACACTTGGCCTCTCCCTGCTTCCTAACTAACTAATTTTCCCTGCCACGAGAGGAAGAGAGGGGGTGAGGGGGTGAGGAGAGGGGGTGAGAGGGTGAAGGGTGTGTGGGGAAAAAAGTGGGGGGGAAAGGGGATGGGGGAAAAGGTGAGGTAGGGGAGGGGTGAGAGGAAAGAAATGAGGGAAAAGAGGGGTGAGGGTGAGGGTGAGGGGTGAGGGGAAAGAGGTAGGGGGAAAAGGTTGAGGGGGGGGAAAGGGATGACAAGTGAGGGTAAAGGTGAGAGAAAGAAGTGAGGAAAGGTTGAATAATAAAGGAAGAATAATGAAAAGTGAAAGTATGGCCAGACAGACAGACAGACAGACAGACAGACAGACAGACAGACACAGACAGACAGACACAGACAGACAGACAGGGTGATAAAGTGAATCTCAAGCTATCCTGGGGGCTATATATCACACTGCAGTATATGACGATGCTGTAGTGCCAAGAGTAGCGAAGATATGTTCTGTGGTGCCAAGTGTTACAGCAGCAGGTGTGCCAGTGCCAAATACTGCAAGGGGAAGTGCACATGTTGCGAGGTATGACTGAAGGTACCGAGTGTTGCGATGATAGTACCGAGTGCTGCGATGATAGTACCGAGTGTTGCGATGATAGTACCGAGTGTTGCGATGATAGTACCGAGTGTTGCGATGATAGTACCGAGTGTTGCGATGATAGTACCGAGTGTTGCGATGATAGTACCGGATGTTGTAATGGTAGTATCGGATGCTGCCATGGTAGTACCGAATGTTGCGCTGGTAGTGCCGGACGATGCAAAGTCTGGCAGTAGTATATGTTGCATAGAAGCAGATGTTGCAAAGTATAACGGTTGCAGATAATGCAGAGGTCAACACCCGGCAGGCTGCACCATCATCACCGCAGGAGCTAATACTAACTCTCTGATTAATGGTACCCTGACCCGCCGCCTCCTGCTGACCTAACCTAACCTAACTTAACTTAACCTAACCTAACACAGCTCAACTTAACCTAACCTAACCTTACCTAACACAGCTTAAACCACCCTAACCTTACCTAACACAGCTTAAACCACCCTAACCTTACCTCACCTCACCTAACCTAACCTAACCCCATCATACAAGGACACAATAACCTGGACACGCCCACACTCGACACAGCAACATAGCGTCTGCAGAACCCACAGTCGACCCGGGACGTCGTAAAACCAAACTCTTGCAATAACTGAGCAACAAACAATTTGCAACTGGGTATTCTTCCTCTTCCTCCTCCACTTCTTCTTCCTCACTTCCCACCTCCCTTTACTCTTCCTCCTCCTCTTCTTCTTCCTCACTTCCCACCTCCCTTTACTCTTCCTCCTCCTCTTCTTCTTCCTCACTTCCCTCTTTTTTACTGTTCTTCCTTCTCCCCTCTCCTTCCCATTTTTCTCATCTCCTCCATTTCTCCTCCTACTCACTTCTTTCTTCCCTCTCCTCTCCCTCCCCCAGTGTTAAATGATACTAGGCATTACTTTAAACGGGGTCATTACTTTTTGGGGGAAGAGATGAGAGGAAAGGGGGGTCTATTTTGGGGAGGGAGGGGGTAATAGTCTTTTTTGGGGGGGGGGGGGGGGAGACAGGAGGAAATATGGTCTTTTTATGGGGTGATTGAAATTTTGAGAAGGTATCGTAAATCCATCTATCAAATAATACGAGAAATTATATATATATAATTTCCTATAACATACAGGATTTAATAATATAATTCCTAACACTGACAAAAATATAATTAATATAACTCCTTCAGGGATACAGGAAGAAGGTTAATATAATTATAGACGTTTAGGTTATAATACTATAGGAGAGAGAGAGAGACCTTGGTGAGGAGACAGACCAGAATGAGACATCAAGAGGGAGATGAATTACATCAGGAACGAGAAGTGAGGGGGAGGTGAGGAGGTCTCCATGAGCAATGTAAACTGGTGGTCCATGAGTACCACCAGGTATGAGAGGAGGTGAGGGCAGAGGAGACAGGTGTGGGGAAGGAGGGGAGATGGAGACGAGGAAGTGGGAGGGGAGGGAGGTGGTTGGGGGGTGAGGGTGAAAGAGAGGAGAGATGGGGGAGAAGAGGAAGAAGGGCGAGGTAGGAGGGGAATGGGAGGGGCTAATGGTAAACAAGATGTAGAGAGGAAACGGGGAAGAGATGAGGGGAAAGGGAAAGGGGGGGAAGATAGAGAGAAGGGGAAAGAGGAAGAATGGGAGGAGGGGAAGTTCGAAGATAGGGGAAAGAGAAAAAGAAGGAAGACAGAGAATAAGGAAAAGGAAAGGGGGAAACGAGTGAGGGGAAAACCGAAAAGAGAAAAAAGAGATTAGAAGAGAGAACGAAAGAGGTAACAAGAACGAAGAGACTGAAAGAGGGGAAGAGGCAAGGGAGGGGAAAGAATAGAGGGGAGACAGGTGAGGATAATGAGGGAACACAGGTGTGAAGGGAAGGGGGACAAAAGAGGGGAAAGGGGTCTTAGGTCACCTGGGAAAAGATCATCCAAGGGGAAGAGAGGGAAGGGGAGTTTTCCTGTGGGGGTGAATGAGGGGAAACACCTCAATCACTTAATGAGAGACAGGGGGGTGGGGGAGAGACAGTCAGACAGGGAGAGAGTCAAAAAATCCCAATGCATAAGTGAAAGGGACAGAGATGTGGCAGGAAACATAATGAACCAAGTGTAGACAAACAAACACAAAAGGGAGGACCTCGTTATGCCTCCTCCTCCTCCCTACACTCATACCAGGTCACCGTAGTTCGCAGTTACCGGTTCCGGATACCAAACACCATGGAATCCAGAATGTGTGTGTGTGTGTGTGTGTGTGTGTGTGTGTGTGTGTGTGTGTGTGTGTGTGTGTGTGTGTGTGTGTGTGTGTGTGTGTGTGTGTGTGTGTGTGGTTGCCCTCGACGTACTCTATGGCACTATACCAGCCGCTTCTGCACACTTACCCACCTTCACGCCGGTTCTGTGTGTGTGTGTGTGTGTTTGTTTTCTCTCTCTCTCTCTCCTCTCTCTCTCAAAACACATGAAAGGCCCCGGCGGTTAAGCGCCTGTTGATGCTGTCTTTCACTGGAGACTGGCACATGGGGTTTTAACTGGAGACTGGGCACATGGGGTGTTAACCGGAGACTGGGCACATGGGGTGTTAACTGGAGACTGGGCACATGGGGTGTTAACTGGAGACTGGCACATGGGGTGTGGAGACTGGGCACATGGGGTGTTAACTGGAGACTGGGCACATGGGGTGTTAACTGGAGACTGGGCACATGGGGTGTTAACTGGAGCTGGGCACATGGGGTGTACCAGGAGACTGGGCAATGGGGTGTTAACTGGAGACTGGGCACATGGGGTGTTAACTGGAGACTGGGCACATGGGGTGTTCGCTGGCGTCTTTGTTCGCTCGATGTCAGTAACGTTCTCAGGACGTCTCGGGGCAGTGTTTACAGTCGCTCCTGAGGCCAATATGTTCTGCTGCCGGAGGAACCTGAAGACTATTTGGTCCATCCTTCACAGTGTCTATAGTTTGGTCCTCTGTGTTTTGTTTATTAGACAGACAGACAGACAGACAGATAGACGACAGACAGACAGATGAGCAGACAGACAGACAGACAGACAGATAGTAGATAGATAGACAGATAAATATTCATAAGTACACATTGAGTTATGATCTGAGGACAAGCAATCTCAACCCGTAAGTCCACAAAAGAGTAAACACCCCACAAGTCAGAGCTCAAGTTCCGTCCTTGAACAGGCTCTCGCTGGTGCCCAAACAACCATCTTTACTCTCTATATATACTCACCCAACACGGGTTTAAAATCATGGCTCATGATTTCCTTCAAGTCTGCGTAAAAAAATAAAAATAATAAAATAAATTCTTACATCAGTCTTCGCGGTAGTTAAAGCTTAGCTCAGGGGGTGCCAGGGTGCCAGCTTGACTTTGTTATATACTGGCACTGCTTTTGGCACCCGAACACGGACCCGGATCATAACCTAACCTATCCTATACTCTCTTTAATCTTGATGACCTTATATTTAATCTGATCTGACCTTACCTAAAATAAGCCTACCTTTTTAAAGTAACCTTCTATAATAAACTATTCTTCCGTAACCTAACCTAACCTTACCTGACCTGACCTGACTTAACCTGACCCGAATGAAGAGTTTACATTCTAGAATTTGTGTCCGATTCTTTGTTCAGTATTTTCAACTTATAATAATAATAATAATAATAATAAAATAATAAAAATAATAATAATAATAATAATAAATAATAATAATAATAATAATAATAATAATAATAATAATAATCATCATCACAGATGCATGTACTATATATCTTACCTGGTTTTTACGTGTTTTAATATTAGATGTTTTAAGTTGGCGGTTTAATTAATTGGCGGTGATATAAGCGAAAACTTTGTAAGGAGGATAAACCGTCTCTGTCTCTTCTTTTTTCTTTTTTTTTCTCTCTCTCTCTCTTCAGTTAAAGAACACCACACCATTTTGTCTCTCAAACCCCTATTTCTCAACCACTATAACTTAAAGCTATAATCTCTATATAATTTTCCTCCTCCCAATTAGCTGTCAATTTTACACTACAAAGAGACACATTCCGTCCGCTAAAACCCTATTTCCTACGGAGCCGAGTGAGTCCCAGCCATTACAGCCAAGAGAGAGAAGGAAGAGGAGTAGAAGGAGTTAAGGTTAGGTGCAGGAGGAAGTGAAAGAGGTCAGACAGGCAGACAGAGAGGCAGACAGACAGAATGACAGACAGAGAGGCAGACAGACAGAATGACAGACAGATAGACAGACAGACAGACACATTCCATAAATATCTAAATAAAATTATAAAAAAGGCTATTTCCACATTTCACAATATCCAGCTCAGAACAGGAATTTCTAATCCAGACGAAATTATATCTGCATAAATCATTCTTATCATTCGTGAATAAATGTTTGACTGATACTGTACAACGGGAGAGTAGACGTACATGTGTGTGTGTGTGTTAAAACACACACACACACACACACAAAACTCCCAGCAAGAGGTAACAACACCCACTCCACTGCCCAGCAACCAAAACAATAACATAAAACTGGATTCAAAAACACAACACGACAAGACCCCAGGATTCGAACCCTGGTCCTCCCCTCAGGTGCCGACACAGGAGACGAACCCACAAAAACTATCACAGCAGAGCCAACCAGGAGGAGAGGGGGAGGGGGAGGAGGAGGGATGGGGGAGTTCATCTTTCTTGCTTGTCCAGGTAAACAGGTTGAGCTTGAGCAAGGAGGAGGTAAAAGTTATCTCTCTTGTTTTATTTGAAGACTTGATAAACTAGACTATTGTTTTTTCTGTATTTGTTGATGTAAATTAGGGTCCTGTACTGTATTCTATTAACGTAAACTACTGTATTTGACTGTATTCTTTTGACGTGAAGTACTGTATTTGACTGTATTCTTTTGACGTAAACTACTGTATTTGACTGTATTCTTTTACCGTAAACTACTGTATCACTGTATTTCCCTCCAACATCCCCCAAAAACAACTTTACATTTCAACTCAACCATCAGGAAGAGAATATAAACACAAGATGTCACTCTTAGTCGTCACTTTCCATAAACACAACTCCTTCCTACACTCACAGCTGCCAGAATAAAAATAAACCCTCACCAAGAACAAAAAATATATTAAATAAAATATATATATAATAAGATCCAAGACTTCAATACGTGTGGTTGGTTATAGTCATGAAGTTAGTAGATTTTTTACAGAGCAAATATGGTGGTGGAGAATGGAATGGTGAGATATACATATGAGGAGAATATGATAAGAGAGAGGAGGAAGGAAGGAAGGAAACAGAGAAGGAAAGATAGAGAGAAAGAGAGAGGGAGAGAGAGAAAATACCTTCATATAATAAAAATGGTGGGGGAAGATTTTCAAGAGGAGAAATATATCCTCTCTGGTTCCATAAGATGATTTTACACGTTGGGAAAGGCGCTGCATCTGAAGACTTTGGCGCGAGAATACGACGCTTGGATTGGCGGGCGATGACACCTCATACGTCAGGCAGAAGGGGAGGGACACGGACCATCAGGGTGTTTTGGGATTCTCAGGGATCACTCCTTTACGGGTGGGATGATGGGGATGAGGGAGAGGAGGGAGAAAACGTCACTGGGAGTAGGGACTTGGGATCGGCGATGAGCCAGAAATGGATCTTTCGTAGTCTGTTGCGACACTAGCGTTTTATTTTTCTTGCAACTTGACCATGTCGGAGGGAGAGAGAGAGAGGATGGGATTACTGTGAAGGAGAATGAAAGAGATAGAAGAAGAAGAAGAAGACCAGCAAAAGAAAGAAAATAAGTGAATAAAGAGAAAAAACACAACATACGTGAAACAGATGAATCTTTACACTAAATAAACATACTGCAATACTTCTCTCTTCCTCTCGCCTTCTTCTTTCTCTCTTTCCTCTTCTCTATCTCTTTACTAGGAAGGATTTAGGATGCCTGAAGGAGCAGGGAGGAGGAGACAAGATATCCTTTCAAGCTGAAGAAGACAGAGAGGAGAGCCAAGGAGTCGTAGGAGAGACGAGAGAGAGAGAGAGAGAGAGAGATCAAGACGGATCACGCGCCGATTGGTTGATTGAATTTTTTCCTCCTTTAACATGACCAACGAGAGAGAGAGAGAGAGAGAGAGAGAGAGAGAAACTTTGAGGAAGAAGAGAAGAGAAGAGGAAGCAGAGACACGACTGTATGGGAGTAAAGGAATCATAGTAAAGAAGAAGAACTAGAACAATAATTAACAAGAATGAGAATAAAAACTAAAACAAACAATAACGGGAATAACAAGAAAATTTGAACAAGAACAAAAACCACAATAAATTCAAGAAAATTAATAAACTACAAAAGTAAAGAAAATAAGAACAAGAAAACAAAACAACAAAGAAAAAGAAAAGCAACAACAAAAACAAGAACAATAACAAACAACAACAAATAAAGAAGAACAAGAACAAGAAAATAAAGAACAAGAACAAGATAAAGAAGAACAAGAACAAGATAAAGAAGAACAAGAACAAGATAAAGAAGAACAAGAACAAGATAATGAAGAACAAGAACAAGATCCCCCATGTTATAGATAGATCACACACCACTTAGACCATAGCCCTCCTTCACTTAGGGGGGGGGAGGGAGGGGGAAGGAAAGAGGGAGAGGAAGGGGATGTGATAAGGGGAGAGGAAGAGGGAAGGGGAAGGAAAGGGGGAGAGGAAGGGATGTGATAAGGAGGAGGGGAAGGGGGAGAAAGAATAATCACCTTCATGTTCTTTTACTTTTTGTGTTTACTCTCTCTCTCTCTCTCTCTCTCTCTCTCTCTCCTCTCTTCCCTTCCTCCTTTCTCCCTCTCCTCCACTCTCCGGGAATGAGTGCCAGGGAGTGGGGGATGGATGAGGCTGGTGACGGAGGAGGCAGACAAAACACAAGACAGCGCCAGGTGGCAGCACTCACTCCAAGAACACCAGCAGGAGGTTAGGGTTAGGTTAGAAGGTTGGGTTGGTAGGAGGTTAGTTAATTCCCCAAACCAAGACTAACCAAACTTAACCAAATCTAACCTTACACGATTAATCTAACCCAAGTTAACGTAACACAACCCAACCCAAGCTAACCTAACCTCACAGACATTAAAGAAAGCTTCTCTCCTGTCAATAGTTCTACTTAAGACCACACAAATGGGTCGTGAGCTTTTTGTTACACTGTTGCAAGACCTCTGGGAGGACTGGCTGAAGGCATAGTGTCACTTGTTCTCTAATAGGCTGTGTGAAGAGATGAGAAGAGAAGAGAAGAAGAGATTTGCATAAGACAACTTTCTATCCTATTCCATTTATCTAGTTTTCCTTTAACCTCAAAATATAATAATAATAATAATAATAATAATAATAATAATAATAATAATAACAATAACAATAATAATAATAATAACAAAAATAATAATAATAATAATAATAATAATAATAATAATAAACAATAATAATAACAATAACAAAATAACAATAACAATAATAACAACAATAATTAACTACACATTGAAACACAAATAACCAAAGCTTAATAAAGTCGTCTTGGGTCGTAGTAGTGGTCGTTACATAATCCCTCAAGGTCTTCTACCTTCGCTATCTCCGTCACCTTAGAAAAATAGATAATGAGTGCGATTCTCTTCCAAGAGCCACAAATCTCTAGTAGCTGCTACTCTCTCTCTCTCTCCTCGACCACCCCTCTCCTCTCTCCCTCGACCCACCCCCTCACTGACCCACCCTCCTCCCTCTCTCCCTCCTCGGCCCCGCCCCCTCACTGACCCCTTTCCTCACGACCCGCCCCCCTCACTGACCCACCTTCTCTCTCACTCACTCGGTGTTTTCTCAAGAAATAATAATGGTGTTGTTCAGCCATTCCTCATCCTTGTCGCTTCTCCACGTCTGGGGAATTCACAAAATATTTCTTTTCACGA